ATCATCTCTGATCCTTTGTAGTTAACCCTTCCTTACACCCCGAGTCCCTAGAAATCACTGATATGTTTTGTTTCTAGAGTTTTACCTTTTCCAGAATGTCATACGAATGGAATCATGCAATATGTAGCCTTTTGAGATTGTCTTGTCTTCTTCTGCTTCAGATGACTCATCTGAGATTCATCCGTGTGGTTTCATGTGTCAATATTTTCTTCCTTTTTTTTTTTTTTTTTTGGAATAGGGTCTCCTTCCAGGCTGGAGCACAGTGGTGCAGTCTATCCTCACCGCAACCTCTGCCTCCCAGGTTCATGCAATTCTTGTGCTTCAGCCACCCAAGTAGCTGGGATCACAGCCATGCACCATCATGCCCAGCTAATTTTTGTATTTTTAGTAGAGACCTGGTTTTCTCATGTTGGCCAGGCTGGTCTCAAACTCCTGGCTTCAAGTGATCCACCAACTTTGGTCTCCCAAAGTGCTGGGATTACAGGTATATAAGCCACTGTGCCTGAGCCACTGTGACTGGCCTTCTTTTATTTTTTATTTTCTTACTGACAGTGTCTCATTCTGTCACCTAGGCTGGAGTGCAATGATGCAATCATAGCTCACTGCAGCCTTGACCTCCTGGGCTCAAGTGATCCTCCTGCCTCAGCCTCCTGAGTAGCTGGGACTACAGGCATGTGCCCCCATGCCTGGCTATGTTTTAAATTTTTTGTAGAGATGGGATCTTGCTGTGTTGCCCAGCCTGGTCTCAAACTCCTGGCCACAAGCCATCCTTCTGCGGGGCCCCCCAAAGTGCCAAGATTTCAGGGATGAGCCACCACGCCAAGCCCCAGTGAGTTCATTTCAAATGCATCTGACCTATACAGAAAGAACATGTCAAAGAGATAGCATTCACTTGTTTTCATCTGGCACTAAGCAAAGTCCACTGGTGTTGTCTTCCAGGGCAAGGGACAGAATCTGTGCATACTCTCACTTGTGATTCATCATATGACTATGTAACTGTGTCTAGTTTCTCTTTAGGGTGGCATTTGACTTTCAGCAAGCTCCTATTAAACTGTAAATGAACTAAATAAACACAATGCTGCTTCACTTGGCCATAGCTATACCAGGATCTCTTCATGAATGACAAATGGCAAAGAGAGTGACATGGAAGGCCGTGTGGACCTGCCTGCGCTCTGCCAGCCACCACTGTGTTCCGCTGTCCCTCAGATCGCAAATCTCATCCTTGGCCTCACTTTTGGTCTTTCAAGCCCCCCTTCTTTTCCTGCTCATTCTCTGTCATTCTTAATATTTTTGGGTACTTTTGGAAGAACCTCATTCTCCTACTTCTCCAAACTAGAAGTGAAGAGTTAGGAAACTTGGTTCAAGATAAAGCCTCATATTCTCCCTATCTTGGGGGATAAAACCTCAGAGATAAATCCCAGTCATAAGATTGGATACCTGTTAGAATGCAAATACTCCACAAGAAAGACAATACTGGGCCGGGTGGTGGCTCACACCTGTAATGCCAGCACATTGGGAGGCTGAGGCAGGCAGATCACTTGAGGTCAGGAGTTCGAAACCAGCCCGGACAACATGGTGAAACCCCATCTCTACTAAAAATACAAAAATCAGCTGGGTGTGGCGGTGGGTGCCTTTAATCTCAGCTACTTGGGAGGCTGAGGAAGGAGAATCACTTGAACCTGGGAGGCAGAGGTTACCATGAGCCAAGGTCACCCCAGTGTACTTTAGCCCCGGTGATGGTGTGAGACTCCAGCTCAAAAAAATAAAAAATTGTGAAGTCCCAGGCGCGGTGGTTCACACCTGTAATCCCAGCACTTTGGGAGGCCAAGGCGGGCGGATTACCTGGGATTGGAAGTTCGAGACCAGCCTGACCAACAAGGAAAAACCCTGTATCTACTAAAAATACAAAATTAGCCGGGCATGGTGGCACATGCCTGTAATCACAGCTACTTGGGAGGCTGGGGCAGGAGAATCACTTGAACCTGGGAGGCAGAGGTTGCGGTGAGCTAAGATCATGCCATTGCACTCCAGCCTGGGCAACAAGAGCAAAACTCTGTCTCAAAAAATAAAAATTAAAAATTGTGAAGCTATTGGAACATTTTAAACTACACTTTCTTGTCTTGTCTTTTTCTTTCTTTCTTTTTTTTTTTGTTTTTTTTAAAGACAGGGTTTCACCATGTTGGTCAGGCTGGTCTTGAACTCCTGACCTCAGGTAATCCGCCCGCTTTGGCCTCCAAAGTGCTTGGATTACAGGCGTGAGCTACCATGCCTGGCCTCTTTTTTTTGTTTTTGAGACAGAGTCTCATTCTGTTGCCCAGGCTGGAGTGCAGTGTCACGATCCCACAACCCCCATCTCCCGGGTTCAAGTGACTCTCCTGCCTCAGCCTCCCGAGTAGCTGGGATTACAGGCATGTGCCACCATGCTTGGCTAATATTTGTATTTATAGTAGAGACGGGGTTTTACCATGTTGGCCAGGCTGGTCTGGAAGTTCTGACCTCAGGTGATCTGCCCACCTCGGCTTCCCAAAGTGCTGGGATTACAGATGTGAGCCACTGCACCTGGCCGCTATTGACCCATTTTTATGTTTATTAGCTGTGTCAAGTCTATTTATGAGGCCATTGAAGGAATTCTTCATCTCTGATATTGTGGGGTTTTTGTTGTTTGTTTCTCGTGTTTCCATTTGACTCTTT